TGGCTTTTGTCTATTAATATAGATAGTTTAATAAATTGCCATAAATGATTGTGGATCTCCTCTCTTCTCACAAAGTCGAAAAACGTCTCTTTAAAGTATTTTGAAGGTGTGGATTGATTCCATCACCTCTTGCTTCTCTTTATTTCTGTGATCCTGCAGTGTCATCTTCAGTCACTGGAATCAGTGAGCAAAATCTTATTTCAAATCGAATTCCAGGCTGATAAACTAAGCAGAGATGTGAACCATGGAAAAGAGAAGTGATGTGATTAAAGTGCTTGAACTGAAACAAGTCTACCTCTAAAATCAGAATACCCCAAGACTGGAGTCTCTGACTTATCTAACACCTACTTGGTTTCTGATGGTACAGTGAGAGGAGTGTTTGCTTTTATTTATTTTCCATTGCAAGCAGTGTGAGACAAATTCTTTATATCTCCTTCAATGGTATAGATGTTGCTGCAACATTTTCTCCCTGGAACTAGGGAATGGGAAGGTTTTTGTTCCTGCAGGTTCAAAGCCTCCTTTGATATTCCAATACTGTTCCAGCAATCCTTATTTTTTTTTCTATCCCTCTCTCATTTGGGCTTAGAGGATTGAAGAGGTAAGAGTTACATAACTCTTAAGGATGCCTCTCCTCCAAGAGTAGACTTGTCTCTCTACTCTCAGATGGGGAGATGATATATCCTGTTGCCCACTAGATACCAACCCAGGGGTTTAAGGATTCAATTATTGGTTTTAAGTCTTCTATATGATATTATTATATCTGTGTGTAGAATTAACCTTCCTGGTGTTTCAACTGGCATCCTTTTCATGAATTTAAGTCTGACTCATGCCGGGAAAAATAACTTTTATGGCCACTGTGCAGGTCGGATGGTTTTGTTTTTTTTACAACACAGGTCTTATAGCTATGTAATAACCAAAATCTCTCTAACCTTACTTACTTACTTATTTAGGCGATCCCTCATTGGCCGAATAGGATAGTCTTCCAGGATCAGTATTCTGGTGGGTCCGTAGGTGACTGTGGAGCCCTATTCTTGATCTGCATCTTCTCCCACAGTGAGGGCATTGGTTTCCAGGTGGAAGGCGGTCTCTGTCGAGGTTGGCTTGATGTGCCTTCCTCTTGGCACATTTCTCTCTTTCACTTTCCATTCATGCCTCTTCAAATTCTGCAGCACTGCTGGTCACAGCTGACCTCCAGCTGGAGCGCTCAAGGGCCAGGGCTTCCCAGTTCTCAGTGTCTATGCCAGAGTTTTAAAGGTTGGCTTTGAGTCCATCTTTAAATCTCTTTTCGGTGGGAAGCTTCCCATCAACAATATGAAATATCATAGCGATGAAGATGGAGAATAAGGTTGGGGCAATAACACATCCCTGTTTGACACCTGATTCCACCTTAAATGGGTCACTTTGGGAGCCGTTACTGTTCAAGACTGTTGCCATCATGTCATGGAGGAGCCGCAGGATGTTCACAAATTTGTTAGGGCGCCCAATTCTTTGGAGGATGGTCCAGGGAGCACTGTGATTCACTGTGTCGAATGCCTTTGCAAGGTCAATGAATGCCATGTAAAGAAGTTGATTTTGTTCCCTGCATTTTTTTTGGAGCTGTCGCGCAGTGAAGATCATGTCCACTGTTCCTCTGGAGGGGCGGAAGCCATTCTGGGATTCTGGGAGGGTGTCTTCTGAGAGGGGTAGAAGGTGGTTTGCAAGGATTCTTGTGAGGATTTTCTCCAACCTACCTTTTAACTGTATCCCAATACAATGTGTTTTTGTGTTGATAGAGAGCAGGGTGATACGTCCAGCTCCTGTAGCTGGATGTGCTTCAACAGATAGGGTATGCCCCTGTATCTGCCTGTTGCAGAGCATCTAGCTGAAGAAAAATATCTAGATGTATCCTTGTTCATCCTTTTTCACCCTAGAAATACAGAAATAGTCTTATTGCATAGAAAAAAAGTGGGACATAAAGAAACAGAAGCAGCAGCAGCGTTATATCTCGTGATGCAATATCTTGGCTTATCTATCCTCTGTCTACCTCTGTCTATTTCTCATTGTAAACATATTAAGTGGGGTTGGATTTTTATTACTGTAAGATTCAACAAATGGATTAACATCTTCTAAATTGGAAACGTATTAGGACTGATGGAACGAAAGCTTAAGCTTGTAGCTTACCAGATCTGACTATGATGTATATGTTCTCTTTTGTGTGTTAAATTGATTCCACTGCATGTATATTCAGTAGAAATGATATTGTCATTGTTTTTTTACCATTATACTTCTTTCATGCTTTTTCTTCTTTTTGTAATTTAATATAGATCAGCGGTTCTCAACCTGGGGGTCGCGACCCCCAAGGGGGTCGCTGGGCCATTTTTGGGGGGTCGCGAAGCCGCCTCGGTTGCCCCCCCCCCGAAATGGCTGCGGCCTCCTGTGTGAGCCAAACAGCCGCAGCCATGGAGGAGGCCTTCCCCGCTCGCCTCCTCCGCCCTCCAGCTTCGGAGGATGCGAGAGGCGACTGGGAGGCCCCCTCCATGGCTGCAGCCATGAAGGAGGCCTTCCCCTCTCGCCTCCTGCGTCCCCCGGCTTCGGAGGACGCGAGAGGCGACTGGGAGGCCCCCTCCATGGCTGCAGCCATGAAGGAGGCCTTCCCCGCTCGCCTCCTGCGTCCCCCGGCTTCGGAGGACGCGAGAGGCGACCGGGAGGCCCCCTCCATGGCTGCAGCCATGAAGGAGGCCTTCTCCGCTCGCCTCCTGCGCCCTCAGCCTTCGGAGGACGCGAGAGGCGACTGGGAGGCCCCCTCCATGGCTGCAGCCATGAAGGAGGCCTTCCCCTCTCGCCTCCTGCGTCCCCCGGCTTCGGAGGACGCGAGAGGCGACCGGGAGGCCCCCTCCATGGCTGCAGCCATGAAGGAGGCCTTCCCCGCTCGCCTCCTGCGCCCCCCGGCTTCGGAGGATGCGAGAGGCGACCGGGAGGCCCCCTCCATGGCTGCAGCCATGAAGGAGGCCTTCCCCGCTCGCCTCCTGCGCCCCGGCTTCGGAGGACGCGAGAGGCGACCGGGAGGCCCCCTCCATGGCTGCAGCCATGAAGGAGGCCTTCCCCGCTCGCCTCCTGCATCCCCCGGCTTCGGAGGACGCGAGAGGCGACCGGGAGGCCCCCTCCATGGCTGCAGCCATGAAGGAGGCCTTCTCCGCTCGCCTCCTGCGCCCTCAGCCTTCGGAGGACGCGAGAGGCGACTGGGAGGCCCCCTCCATGGCTGCAGCCATGAAGGAAGCCTTCCCCTCTCGCCTCCTGCGTCCCCCGGCTTCGGAGGACGCGAGAGGCAACCGGGAGGCCCCCTCCATGGCTGCAGCCATGAAGGAGGCCTTCCCCGCTCGCCTCCTGCGCCCCCCGGCTTCGGAGGATGCGAGAGGCGACTGGGAGGCCCCCTCCATGGCTGCAGCCATGGATGAGGCCTTCCCCGCTCGCCTTCTGCGCCCCCCGGCTTCGGAGGACGCGAGAGGCGACTGGGAGGCCCCCTCCATGGCTGCAGCCATGAAGGAGGCCTTCCCCGCTCGCCTCCTGCGCCCCCGGCTTCGGAGGACGCGAGAGGCGACCGGGAGGCCCCCTCCATGGCTGCAGCCATGAAGGAGGCCTTCCCCGCTCGCCTCCTGCGTCCCCCGGCTTCGGAGGACGCGAGAGGCGACCGGGAGGCCCCCTCCATGGCTGCAGCCATGAAGGAGGCCTTCTCCGCTCGCCTCCTGCGTCCCCCGGCTTCGGAGGACGCGAGAGGCGACTGGGAGGCCCCCTCCATGGCTGCAGCCATGAAGGAGGCCTTCCCCTCTCGCCTGCGCCCTCCGGCTTCGGAGGACGCGAGAGGCGACTGGGAGGCCCCCTCCATGGCTGCAGCCATGAAGGAGGCCTTCCCCTCTCGCCTCCTGCGTCCCCCGGCTTCGGAGGACGCGAGAGGCGACCGGGAGGCCCCCTCCATGGCTGCAGCCATGAAGGAGGCCTTCCCCACTCGCCTCCCGCGCCCTCCGGCTTCAGAGGACGCGAGAGGCGACTGGGAGGCCCCCTCCATGGCTGCAGCCCGCTCGCCTCCTGCGCCCTCCAGCCTGTGAAGGCACGAGGGTCTCCCAGCCGTCTTTCCCCTGTCCAGGCAGCAAAGAAGGCTCTTCAGAAACTGAAGGTAGGACAAATCTAATCTTTTGTTAATACCTCCCCCAAATCCCTCCAATATTTTCTGTGGGTCATGGAAGTCCTGTATGCCAAGTTTGGTTCAATTCTATTGTTGGTGTAGTTCAGAATGCTCTTTGGTGCCTGGTGAACTATAATTCACACAATTGCAATTCCCAAATGTCAGGGTCTAATTTTCCCAACCCCTCCAGTATTTTTCGTGGGTCATGGAAGTCCTGTATGCCAAGTTTGGTTCAATTCTATTGTTGGTGCATTTCAGAATGCTCTTTGGTGCCTGGTGAACTATAATTCACACAATTGCAATTCCCAAATGTCAGGGTCTATTTTTCCCATCCCCTCCAGTATTTTCCGTGGGTCATGGAAGTCCTGTATGCCAAGTTTGGTTCAGTTCTATTGTTGGTGTATTTCAGAATGCTCTTTGGTGCCTGTTGAACTATAATTCACACAAGTGCAATTCCCAAAAAGTCAGAGCTGAATCGGTTGGCGGTAATTCCAATCCCTTCATCCATTGTCCATACTCCCCCAAACATACTGTTTGTATCATTAATCACTATGCTTTAATTATGTTCAATTTGTAACAATGGAAATACATTCTGCATATCAGATGTTTACATTACAATTCATAACAGTACAGTTATGACGTAGCAACAAAAATATGGTTGGGGGTCACCACAACATGAGGAACTATATTTAGGGGTCATGGCATTAGGAAGGTTGAGAACCACTGATATAGATAAATGATAAATTGTTATCACTGCTGATGAGACAACTGCTACTCTGAAGCTCAGAGAGGCCAAACAACTAATGGAAGGTTTCTTTTCTTCTTCTTCTTCTTAACACAGGAAAATCCCTTGGATTAATATATATGCTCAGGTCCAGCATGACAAGGAACAAGAAATGATTGGTTCCGTCAGCCAAAGTGAAAATGCTCCCAAAATCTCTCTGAGTGAATTCACAGACCCTGAAGAACTCATGGACAAAGAGCTGGACACACGAGTTATAGGTACATGGCAGGACTACAATTCACCTAAATAGGGGATGTAAGGAATAGTCACCAAATTTCTGATTTTCCCCATGTTGAAATTCCTTATTGAAACCTTAAGAGCCACTTCAGGAGCTGCCTGCACAAGAGTGAAACATTAAGTGCAGTTTTAATCCTTTGAAGTTTCTGTTATTTTCAAAGAAACCCCCTCAGCAAAACCAGCTTCTGTCCAGTAATTCTATTTTTTAAAAGTTCATGCAACAAGGTAGCAGCTTACATAAAGTCATTGGCATTATATGTGCAAAAAGAAAGTGTCAGAAAGGCAAACACTGTATTTGAAAATGCACAAAAATAGTTCACTGTCTCATCCAGTGAAGATAAGTATTTTTAATTTTCCATTCTCATGCATGAGAATGAGGTAAGCAACAATTTGCATTCCTATTCAAGTCTTCTCAGTATATCATGGACGAAATGAATATATTCTGCTTCCCTGATTGTATGCATAATGCTGACAACAGTGGGATTTCCGTTATGAGAAATAGCTTAATTCATGGACCAATGTCAAAATGTTACTCTTCCTAGAGATCTTATTGGTGTATCATTTCAGAGATGAGAAACATTTGTGGACAAATAATTGAACAGCTTTATCCAGCTCTATGAAGGATGTTGTTGAACTATCTATGCCCTGACCTCACTCTAGACAGTTTGCTAATAACATGCAACACAATTAAAACATAATGAGAAAAAACCTCCCACAACAACATTAAACTACCAACAACATTTAAAAACAATTTAAAACATAGTTAATACCAAGAACATTGACTTAGAAAATTATGACGTTAAAACAGTAAGAATGGAATAGTACCCTCCCTAAAACCCTTTAAAACTCTTGAGTTTTCAAAATCTAGACAAATGTAAAAAGAGTTCCAGAGCCTTGGAGAAGTCACTGAGAAACTGATAGAATGTTAGAATGATTTCTTGGACTATGATGCTTTGTACCTTAAACAAAGCTTAGAACCTTTTTGGGATACATCTCCAAGAATCCCATAGCAGCCTTGCCTACCAACATTTTACATATAGTTCTTCCAAATCTTTTTCAAAACTCTAATCTCAAGGTAGTATAATATTTTTACTACTAGTAGGAGGAAACACAAAGAGTCATTGAAGGAGAGTGTACTGTAAGCATCAAGATATATATTTTTTGCATTCAACTCAATTTTCCAAGTCTCAGGCTATCTCTTCCTCACTTACAATCCGTATTATCCATTCTGTATTCCCATTACTCTTTGATGTCTGTTTCCATCCTCTGCTTTCTGAGCAGGGACAGTATCACTTCTGTTTTATGATCAATACTTAATATCTTGGCTGTTAAAAATATCCGTCAACAGTAGTCAGACCAGTGAACACCACAAGACTAGATAAAGAAACTTCATTATCTATAAAAGCAATACAGAACTTGAGAACTAGTGGCCCTGCAGATGTTACTGAGGGATACTTGTATTATCCCTCACCCTGGGTCAGGTTGGTTAATGGGAATTAGAGTCCAATCATATTGTTATGGTCGCAAGTTCCCCAACCCTTCACTAAAGCTGGAAAGGAAATATATAGTATATATTTTTCAGTGGTTGATGCATGAACAATATCTTACCTACAATGAGGTCAGACTCACAACAGGCCATTCCACTGACTGTCTTTCTCCTTTTCCCTAGGAAGTATCTCAACGATCTCCAACAGTGAAAGCACAAAAGAAATACCCAACTGCACTAGTGTTTGATACCAGGAATCAACTCTGACAGTGACATTTCTGAGTTTTTATTTTTAATTAATAATATTATTATTACAAAGGGAAAATTCTATGTCATTATTATAATTATTATTATCATTATTATTATTATTGGGTGCAGGGTATGGGATTTTTTTAAGTTCTGGTTTTTTAAAAAGTTTTCTTCCCTGGGGCCACATTCATAAATTTAATATTTGAAAAACTGTATCATAGAAAAATACAAGCTTCATGGAAAGCAGGAGTAAGACCCTGAACTTACATTTTGGGGTACATTTTCTATTTTCTTGTGTAGCAAAAATAATTGGCCTACTTTGCTAGTGGCGGATTCAGAAGACAATTGGATTGTTCAGATCCAGGCTTGTTCTTATAGAGTATAGGGTTCTCCCCCCACTTAGCAGCCTATTGGATCCAGTCCACTGAGTATATATATATTATATTGTATATCTTAAAAATGGGGAAATAAGCCTTCCATGGTTAACTGTCTGGGTTCTCATGAGGGTGGGCAGGATGCACAAAATGGCCACTAACAAGCCTGACCAAGTTTATGAATGAGGCCCTCCCTGGTGCATGTTAATACTGAAGATACTGATGGCAAACTGTAGATAATGACCATGTAAATATCTTTTTATTTCCTGAGAAATAATTTAATGTTTAGTAAAAGATAAATTTAAAATGATCAAACCACACACATGCACACCCCCTTCACACCTACATAAGAAGCAAAACAGTTCACTGAGATCCTGCAGTGAGCAGCTGAATCACATGTGGGGTCTAAATACGTATCGGTTGCCTGTCATATTTAACTCTTAATCAATGTTGCAAAGGGAAATAAGATAAAGAAGGAAATACATTTCAGTGATTTTAAGATATTGGGTAATGGATACTTTGGGAATTAAAAACACACCTAAGGTATTTGATCTTCTTTGGAAACAGTGGGTGTTCAGCATCCACTGGCATTGGTCCCAGGACACCTTGTGGATACCAGAATCGATGGATATGGTCAGTCTGAGTGTATGGGAAAAGGCCCTGAGCCACATCTTTAATTAATATGAAGTCTCAAAAACATTCCATTCAATTCATGAATTACTCATTTGAATCAGAGGGTTGGACAGGAAAATATGCTTGATCAAGAAAGCAAGAGAATAATGAATCTGAGCCATCAATAGTTTTTAATTTTTAACCTAAGCTATCGGCTACCACAACAAATTGAATTGTTCCTTCTCTGCCATGTTCAGTCCTTAAACCTATGAATCATTCACAATTTGTTCTACCTAGTCATAGTCACCTTTAGCGCACTTTGTAGTAGCTTCACAGTACTTCTGGTTTCAAATTCAGATGATGATGATGATGATGATGATGATGATTATGCAAGTGGGCATGCTGATGTCTCTGTGTGATTGTCTTTGTACTCAGCCTTTGTGGTGCTGAGCAGCTCTCCAGTGAAGATTATCTGAGATCAGAAACACCAGATGTTACAAACCAGCATGGTGTTATTATTCTCGCAGCAGTAAAGAAATCTGACCGGTCATGAGAAATAATGGGATAAACTAACTAGGAAATGTAGATGAGGGATTTCAGCTCTGCCATTTCATTGATGGTGAAGCTGTTAGCTGAACAATAGCATGTTTTATTACTGGATTATTTGAATTCATGTGTGCACGGTGGAAGTATCCATACTGAATTTAAGCCATGGACAGATATGAGCTCATGATTGTTACCAGCAGTATAATAAAGCAAATGCCCTACATCAATTTCACTCCCAGGAAGTCTCCAACACCATAGATCAAATAGCTCAAATATAAGTGGAAAGAACAGAAACAATTCAGAAATATTCAGCCCATCCCCAAACTCCTGATTTGCTTCAAGTCAATAACGCTACTTTATAGGAAATTGCCATTACAGTTAAGTGTTCCATCAAGATATTTTTGAGAGAATAATGATGATACGGCTTCCAAGACATTAAAAGAGCCTCACATGGAAGGGAAAAATACTGTAAAGTACAAAGGTCTCATTAGAATCAGATACTGAAGACATAATCAACAAGATTTTTCTTCTCTAACAGAGGTCATATGTTCTAGCAGATTAAATCAACAGCTGTTTCTATTTCTTGAACTTGAACTGTAATTATGGCAAAAATGTCAAAATATTACATTCAGCCCTAGGAGGGAAAATATTACCTTAGACTACAACTCTTTGAATCCACTGCTATGCAGTTCAAAAAGTAACTTTTCAACATGGTTTCCTATACAATACCAACTCAGTTCATCAGACTCTCATTCCTAGCTTTGCTAGACTGGGAGCTTTCAGACTAAAGACCCATGCTTCCCCCTTAAGAGAATTATATATAGGATTTCTGTTACAAGAGGGCTCTCATATCTTTAATGGTTGTATAGAAGAAAATACTTCCACAAATGTTGTTTGTTACCTGGTTTACATGAGAAAGCAACACCAGCTGAAATATTAAAGATACGGAATCCCTCTCCAGTTTTTGGTTCAGCAACTCTAATTAAAGCCAAAACAAACCCCACCCCAAAATAAATACATGCTAGACCAGAAAACAAACAATGCATCAACAACCCAAATAAAAAAAACAACTACCACCTCAATTTTCCAATAAACCTACTCACTTTGACTTCCTGTTTCTTTTACTTGGCAATAAGCATTATCTATAAGGGGATAATACATTTCAAAAACAATGAAGTAAGTCTCTATAATCATGATGCCTGGTGGGCTGCTGTACCTTAACTAGGATAGATTGAAATGATAAAAAGATAGTACATCAGCTTGTATTGATCAGGACCAAAGTGCTCTAACCCTCTGTGGTGCTGCCCCCATCATCTGCTGATCTCTGGATTGTCTTCTGGGCTGTGCTTGCCTTAGGAGCCCTGGATATTGGCCCCATAGTCTCCACTGAGTACAACTTCTTTTGACTGAGAGAGCAGAAATCCAAATGGATTACTTTTACAAGCTGGCAAAGTGACATATTTTGCTTTTATTTGTATTAAGCTTAAATAAGACAGACAACTGTGATACTTATTTTAAATGAAGTATGACAAATGCATGAATCATATATATACATAAAAGTACCTATATACTGTTCTTGGTTTTATTGTTCCATTTGAATATTTCTACTTTAAAAAAAGGCAGTGGTTTTGAAATTGTTGAAAATAAATGTATTTTTGTACATCAAAGCTGCCACTGTGCATTATTTGTGGTGCCTTCTTACAGGTGGCAATGGTTTTATATCCCCCATCATTACCCAGTGAACAGAGATCAATTGTTAAACAGTCTCGACTAGGATTACTTTTGTGGGTGGGACAGTCTTTTAACCTTGCAGCCCTGGCTCTGTGTTTCACTTCTGGGCAAGCACAGACCTGCTCTCCGGCCCTTTAGCAGTATACTTAGTTGTTGCTTTGGGGCCAGGTAGGAATTCCCTCCCCCCAAGAATGGGGGTGGGTCGCCTCCTCTACACTGTTTCTTTAGAGGCTAATTGGTTTTGGTATATCTTAAATAGGTGGTCATGCAGGAAACTGGGATGGGTTTTACATCTCGGTGTGCACCTAAGGCACCCATTTTGGTGAAGGCCTTGGAGCGGTGGGAATTTGGGGCTCATGACTTGGGGTCCATATTTTTTTTCTGCAGCTTCCCTAAGAGATTGCCCTGGAAGCTGCTCAGGTAAGGTTGCGCATAGGGGACCCAGGTGTCTTGCCCATGTTAGCTGAGGAGCTCTTGGATGACCACTGCCTCTGCTTATTCCACACTAAGTTCACACCCTTTAAATTTTGGTTTTCAGGTCATAAAGAAAGTTAAATAGGTAACATTAATAAAGTTGCCCATAGTTATCCCATATGGTTGTGTGGTCTCATTATTTCAATGGTGGGGAGCAAAAATGGGGGCACAAGTAGTCCAGGACCATCAGGCTGTGGTTATAAAGTTTACTTTTGCTAAATCAACAGGGAAATGCAAAATCACACACATGCACACACCCCAAATCTCCTCTCTCTCACTGCCGACTGAATTGAGTGCAAGTTACTTTTGCAGTTGATTTGCTCCAATGGAAACAAACCAAGGAAGAAGGGAAAAGTGGGTGAAGAGAAAAAGTGGGACATTTTAAAAGCAGCTGAAAAGGTAGGGTGTCAGAAAAATAATGAAGTCTGTCACTACCAAATCATGACAATTGCAAGGTATGTAGTTTACCTTGAAGAGTAGATGTTTCTGTTATTTTATGTAGTGCCAGAGTGTACAGGATGTACTGAATCACTCCCAAGTTCATAGCCAAGAAGATTTTGAGACTTAATAAATTTCATACACCTGTTCATGTGTAATGACAAATTTAGTTATAAACCAGGAAGCAGATCCTTCTTAATTCACATGCTTTTAGAAAGGCCTAGTAGGCTCACTTATATAGAATTTAAGTTGGGTTATGCATTAAACCTGAATGAGCCAATATCAATTCACCAATCTAGGTATTGCTAGGAAAGGCGTCAAGTTAAATATGAAACAGCAGCCAATCATGGCACCAAATATGTTCAAATCAGAGCAATGCTACATTTCCAGGCTCCCAAGGAGCTGTGAACCATGCACCTCAAAAGGAAATGAAAACAGAAAATTCTCACTAGCAAAATCTAATCAACTCAAACAAATGATAGACACAATGTATCAGAGTTGAACCCTGAAACCCAAATTAAAAGCCAGGTGCCTGTCCCTAGTGATGGAGATCTGCATTGCTGGTGATTGAGGTACTAAAGCATGACATGACCAGTTCCGTCCCACCAGAAAGCAATGGTGCACTAGAGTTGCAACAGAAACCCACAAATTTGTTTCTCCAAAACAGGTTTTATAGTAGCTTCACTCACTATCCATTCAATTGCAGATCCTGACTAACTTTCATTAATTTAAACAAAATTAATCCATTTATGCAAATAATTATTCTCCTCCAATTAGATGAAATATCTTACTGGACTTACTTCATATCACACAGCAGTGTGTCCTGTCTGCTTTTCACCTGCTTATATCAGCCATGTGACTCTAGTAACTCTTGAGTGCATTTCAAGTCAATCATTTAATTAAATTTTCTTTCCGAACATTCCTCTTTTTATCAACTTGTTCACAGTTAGGTTGTCTGTCTGGAATTGATCAGTGCCTAAACCTTGGGTGTTTCACTAACATCCCTGATGCACTTAACAAACTGTCTTAATGCATTGCTATTCAAGTTTCATGGGCTTAAACATGCACAATACAATCAAAGTCAGCACTCAGCATGTAACATCCCTACTATGTCAGAAAATGGTTATACTAAAAAGCTGGATATTCCATGAATTTGGGCTTCTCCATTTGGACTTCTGTATAACTTGGTTTTTGCTGATTTCCCTTGAATGGTCCAGTGCCATCTTCTTTCATGTTTAGGATGGTTCCTTACTTCCAATGCCCATTGGGATTGGAAGTGCTTGTGGGGAGGTAAGTGGCAAAATATTATCCTTTCTTTTCATTTGCACGAACCCAAAGTGATCCATTCTGTGAGTGGAACTCAGCTCACCTCTGAATTTCTCAGTCAAACGTAATGGGTAATTCTGTATTTACAAAAATCCAGCACATCCAAATGCAGATTCTGCAAAGGTCTTCTTACAATAAAAATAATTAGAATATACAAATGTTTTGAAAAGAGGTTTTAAAATTTTTCTTTCTTGAAAACAAACAGCAATATTCTAACAATTTCCTTCACTTGTAAAAAGTTATACCCTTCTGAACCTTATAATGTCTCAATATGGGCATATTGGAAAACCTGCTGGTTGGTTACCCCATTTAATCTCCTGCTACAAGGTGTTATGTCCAAAGACCACCAGGTAGAAAATCCTGTGAAATTCAGATACGATACAAGGATTATACACAAGCTATCTCCTGTTCTCTCATTATTTTTCTTGGCATTCTCCCCAGTGCAGTAGTACAACGATTAAGCATTATCAAAGCACCACTGCACTACCGACATATTATTGCAATACATCAGCCAAATGCTATTCTCTGTATCTTGGTATTACATCCCCTGACTGATGGCTGACAGGAAGCATAAGGCGTGGAAACAAGTCTGCTCAGTTTGACATTTTACAATACTGGCTTTCTCAGGGGTGGGGTGAGGGGTGGGTGGATGTTAACATTATGAGGAACGTCAAGAGATGAGAACAACAGTAATCCCTTATAGCCCATGGATATATGTTCTACAACATTTTTAGATCTTGGTTTTACATGGCAGTAACACAAGAAAATAAGGCTCCTTGCAGTAGAATTTATTTATTTATTTATAGAATGGAGATCCAATCCAAGCTTATGGGTTGCTATAGCAGTAGGCATGTCCACTGATGTGTAAGCACTTGCTGCTTCACCTGATTATGTGTATTACCCTATGGTTCATTGCTCTGGAAGAAAAAATAGTTCTGTTAACAGTTGTAAATGAAGCTATTAACAGCAAGAGTAGGATTCTGCTTAGTGTTCAATCAGCTTCACTACATGGATAGGAGAAAGTGACACCATCTTATCAAGAAAAAATATGTTGGTCTCGGACACAGAAAGGATAAAGAACATAATTTAACATTTTTGAGTTTCAAGTACAGATGAGATATACCTGGCTGGAATTCTGTATTGAATTTACAGATTTGTCATCTAGCATTATTTATTTATTTATTTATTCATTCATTTATTCATTTATGATATTTCTACCCCGCTTTTCATGAACCCAAAGATGACTCAAGGTGGCTTTACAACATAGGCAGCTATTCGATGCCATTAAAACAATGAAAAAATTACAATAAACATTTAAAACAGAATTATAAAATGCATACATTAAAACCTTTTAAAACATACAAAACCACTACCTTCACTATTAGCCTCGTCATCCAAAAACATTATCTAAGTGATTCCAGTATTTTAATTCACATAGTTTTGTGTTTATCTATTGCACTAAGTTTCCAAAGCATTGTTCAAAAAGCCATGTTTTCACTTTTCTGCAGAAGGTCAGAAGGGAAGGGGCTAATCTAATATCCCTAGGGAGGGAGTTCCACAGCTGAGGGGCCACCACTGAGAAGGCCCTGTCTCTCGCCCCCACCGGTTGCACCTGCAAAGAAAGGCAGGACAGAGAGCAAGACCTCCCCAGATGATCTTAAACTCCTAGATGGTCCACAGGGAGAGATACATTACAGATGTATAAGTACTCTACATTTACTAACACTGTTATGGTACCATTGTAGCAATTGCCAATCGGGATAGAGAAGGAAGACATTTTCATCCCTTCCCACCAGTGAATGAGGCTGGGCCTATCAGAAGCAGGATCCCTGTCACAATTCTATATAAAGTAGATTTGTAGGGGTCGTGCCAGGACCCCTACAAATACTTAATTATGTGTTTGTAACTAAGTACACAATGGAGAATATAGGCCATAATGTTTAAAACCACTAACAATAGGAGAATTTATTCTTTAAGGTACAGAATTCCATGAAGCAGCAGTGCTTTAGCCAGCGTCATGCAATCAATTGCTAATTGGATCAGAGACCTCTCTGATGTGAGCAGTAACTACCAACACAAACCCATATATTATGCCAGCAGTCTCATGTTTCAATAATATTGAAGCAGATTTTGTCTGCCTCCAACACTCTTCCCTCTAGTTTTTGCAGAGAAACATGGGAAGTCAACTCTGTGTACCCCATTGTTTTGGCTGGTGGCTATCACTTGAATATATCGCTTGCATCCTCCTATTAATCCCAACTAGAGTAGGACTACTGAATAAGTGGGATTTGCCTATGTACTGATTTATAGTTGATTCATTGGGTCTATTTTCTATTTGGGGCTCACCAACAGGATGCAGGTTAATATTTTCTCATTCAGAAACCAACTAAATTAAATATGAAAGTTGAGTTTGGAGGAAATCCTATGAAATATTCCTAACACATATGGCAGTCTACACAGATACAAATGTCTTTACTACTGCAATTTGTTAAGTCACTGAAGATTTCAGTGAACAAAGTGGTCAGTGAAAAAGAATATAGCAAGACAACACAGTGATCTTTAATATTTTCTTTCTTGTAAATGCCTACTTGACCTTGGTAAGATCAGTAACAGTGCAGCTGATATGACCTAATGGATTCCACACTACACCAGTTCAAATTCAGTGTTTTTATTTGTAGTCCATGAAATGATAACCTCA